TGACTCTGTATCTGGCAAAGCAGTCCATGTTTGGCACTACTTTTTCAAAAATCTGTTTCTCAAAACGATTTGCCAGATTTGGACTCTTTGGTTCGGATTAAGAACCGTGACACAAATAGAGTCCGAACTGTAGCACGAGGCCCACGCGGGCGCTGCTACACGCGCCTTGCCTCTAATTCTCTGAACTTTCTTGGTTTTGTGCTTGTTTCAAGCCAACCCTTGGTCCCCCCCCCCTTTTGCCTAGAGAGAGAAACAATGGTGTAGACCACTTTTCTCCTCTGTCGACCAGTTTTCTCCCTTGCCAGCCAGTTTGGATGGTCGATCGACTAGGGTGGGTGGTCGGTCGACCACCTCAAGTGGTCTGCAGCATGCCACCACCTTCCCCATTCTTGGGAAACCCCGTTTTTGCCCCGTCAACCAACTTTTGTCCCTGTCAACCACCTTGGGTGGTCGGTCGACCAGGTGGGGTGGTCGGTCGACCCCTTGAACTGGTCGGCGGCCTTTCTGCACTTTCTGCAGATATTTTTGGTGCCAGCTGTGCCAGCTGTTGGGCATCCCTACATGTGTAGGGAGGGATTCATGCAAGCTTTTGCTTACATTTTTTTATAAAAGGGGAGGTGCTTCCCTCTTAGAGGGGGTTCAGATTTTTTAGAGTAAAAAATCTACTCTTTCTCTAGAATTCTCTCTCTCTCTCTCTCTCTCTCTCTATATATATATATATATATTTTGTGCTTAAAAGTGCTTGAAAGTGGGAATTCTTGGTGGATTTGCAAAGGAACTCTTGATCAAACACCACCATCATTGAGCTAAGATACTTGGGAGCCTTATTTGAGTGACTTTGACCTGATTTTGCCTCAGAAGTGGCTGGTTTTGAAGTTGGGCTTCAAGGGTGAGTAATAGTCTCTTTAAAGCTTTATTTTCATTCCTTATTTAGCCACCTTTGTATGCTATTTTAGGCTTAGCTTTCAACTGAAAAAAGTTTTATTTTGAAGTGTTTAAAATGGTTGTTTAAGGCTTTGTTTGAGTTAGGGGTGGTTTACCCCCTTTGGTGGCTTGTTTTGCCTTGCTTTATGCCATCTTTTAAGGCCTTTGGGATCATCTCTTTTTGGCCTTCTCACCACTAAAACTTGGAGGAATTTTAGTGGTGGAAAAGTGATTTTGATGTCCCAAATGGGTGGGGGTAGCCCCCCCCTCCTCTTCTCTTGTTTGCTTGTGTTTATGGCCCATCAAAAGAGCATGTGTTTCTACTTCTTTGTGGCTTTGTTTAGGCTCATTTTTGTGACTTTTTAGACCTGCCTTAACTCTATTTTTGGCTATCTTGGTCACCTCTTGCATGCTTCTTGTACTTGTAGTGTAACCCTACTTGTAGCCTTGCAAAGTAGCATGTTTTTGCTTAGTTCAAGCATGTTTTTAGCCATTATTTTCCATGTCATAACTCTTTTTTTGGCTATCTTGGCTGCCTTTTGCATGCTTCTTGCACTTGTAGTGCAATTTTGTTCAGTAGCCTAGTGTATTTGGTGTTTTAGCCTATTGATCTAGCATGTGTATGCTCTACTCCATCACATTTTTGGCTATGTTTTAGCATGTTTTAGGTCTGATTTTAGTTGTTTTGGTCATGCATGCTTGGCTTTGCATAGCTACAGTGTATTTGGCTTTGCTAGCCTTGCACTTTGAGACCTCTAGCATGTCATGTTTGAGCTTTTTGCATGGCGTAGTATCATTTGGCATGTTATTTCAGACCATATACCTATGCCATATTCTTGCATTTATCACTCTTTCAATGCTTTTGGAGAATTGTGCCTTATGCTTTGATCATAAGCTAATTTGTATGCATGTTTGTCTAAGCTCTTGGGCTACCATCTCAGCATATTTTTGGTCTTATTTTTCCATGTTACAACTCTAATTTTGGTTGGTGGAGTCACCTCTTGCTTGGTTTTGGTACTCGTAGTGTAATCCCACTCATTGGCCTTGCATGCTTAGTGTTTTGGCTTACCATGCTAGCTTGTTTTAGCTACACTCAATCATGTTTCTAGCATTATTTTGAACTGCCTTAGGACTATTTTGAGTCATCTTGGTCCTTTGGGGCTTGCTTGATATGGCTATGGTGCAAGTGCCTTAGCTAGTCTTGAGTTTTGAGCACTATAGCATGCTATACTTGTGATGGTTGCATGTCTTGGCATCATTTAACATGTTATTTCAGAGCATATACATGTGTCATGTTCTCACTTCTTTCACTCCTTGAGAGCTTTTGAGAGTTGTGCTTTTGTGCCTTATTTGTGAGCTACCAAAGGAGCATGATTTTCTACTCTTTTGAGCCTTAGTTTGAGCATGTTTTTGCTATTGATTTGCCATGTTGTAGCTCTATTTTGGGCTGGTTTGGTTGTTTAAGCTTGATATTACATGCCTCTTATGTTATACTCTTTGCTAGCTTTAATGTTCTTGGCTCTTAGCATCATTTAGAATGTTTTAGCATCATTTAGCATATCATTTTACTGCTGAAATATATGCCATTGCATCCCACTAATTCACTCTTTCAAAACTAGAGGACTCTCACTTTTGGACTTAACCAATTAAGGGATTAATTGATAATCTAAAATGTGTAAACAAAATTGAATCAAGTAAAACATGGCCAAGATAACATGTTGTGTTGCATTGCATGTGTTTGGATCGGACGTTTGTCCAAACACAAGGAATGTGGCATGTTTCATACTCATAGTGATGAAACGTGTCATATTTCTCGGTTGCCGACGCCCTTGATTATGCATGATAGGTTGAGGCCTTTCGAGTCTTATGTGTGCATTCACTGAGTTTTGCGCAAGCTTGATTCTTAGGCCAGCATGCATTGAAAATGCTTGGTTGGTGACTCGAGAATCAAGTGTCATACTCCTTTGAGCTTGAGATATGATAAGGATTGTGGAAGTGCATACATTTCCTTGCAAATACACTGTCTTGCCTCTGTCTGTGCTCTATTGCAGCAACAGGAGGAATTTCAGCCCTCAAGGTGTTCTTGAGATAAAAAAGAAGCAATATGGAAATCGGTGTACATTTCAAGGTTCAAAAGAGTGCAAATAGAGGCGTCTTGAGGCAAGGCGGTGGATTTCCGGGAGGACGCAACCGAGCATGCATGTCTCCCTTGCCCGCGAGGCCATTTGTCGCTTTTGTTAGCTAGTTGTAGTTAATTACCTGTGTTGTAATTATTTTAGCTTAGTACTTTGTAATATTCTAATTAGCTTAAATTAGCTAGTTGTTCAATTTGGTTTGTAATAATTAATTAGTTAGAATAGTTAGTTAATTAGTTAGTTTGTAATATGTAGCTTAATTAGCGTAACTAGTTAGCTTTCATTTTATTCAGACCCTCTGTCGAAAGGGCAAATGTTGTAATAAGTGCGTGTGTGTGTGAATGTCTTCCAACCCGTCTTTCTCCCTTTTATTTACCATCTTTTGATGGTTAGATTAGGGCACATTTCAATTAGCATACCCCATGCTTGCATGCGTATATCATTCATTTATCTTGCATGCACCGGGCTCGGCGCATCATTCAAACTGCATTGTATTTCTATACCTATTTGAATACATGTTTCAAGTCTTGAAAATCATTTACCATCTTAGATAGCCGAGCCTACTTAGTTGCATTTTTCATGTGTTGCATTAGGCATTGTTGACATAGCTAGGATCATGCATTGATTACTAACTAGGTTCTGTTTTGGCTCGGAGTACAATGTAAGTGTTTATGCTTTAGCATCCTTGCATGCGTGTAAGTGTTGCCATGTTTAGCATGCTTGCCATGAGGCTATGTGCTTAATTGCTAAATTGCATGAATGCATGTGGATGAAGGCTTCATTGCTTGAATTGGAACAATTCATCAAAATGTGTGTTTTAAACCCACTTGGTTGTGGCAAAATCATGTTTTAAGCCCACTTGAGGGTGGCAAATCTGCATTTTAGCCTACTTGCGAGTAGCAACTTCAAACCATTTTCGAAAACAAACATCGAATTATTTTGTTCCAATTTAGGCGATTTAGTTTATACTTGTGCGTTGTGCGCATCAAATAGTAAGTTAGCTAATAAACTGGAATAAGAACACATGTGTTTTCAAAAACAACATATCATGTTAGTAGAGGCCGATCTTTGATCGGGCGAGCGAAGGTGCTCATTTCAGAACCTTCCCCTCTCGTACCCAAGTTCCCGAGCCGAGACAACTTTGGTGATGATGGACACGTGGCCTTAGGCATGAGTCAGGGTTTCCTAAATTTTTCAAAAACAAAATATTTAGGTGGCGACTCTAAAATCTGGCAAAGCAGTCCATGTTTGGCGCTTTTGATTCAAAATTGAATTTTCAAAATCAATTGCCAAATTTGGACTCTTTGGTGATTTTTCAGTCTTGCATTGCACTTTGTGAGGCTAGATTTAGAATCGTGACAGGAGTCCGAACTGTAGGACCAATTCGAGCTCTCTGAAAGGGGGCACGGAAAAGTCAAGCTACAAACTATAAATAAATAATAATATAAAATTTATCTAAAATATGTAGTAAAAATGATTTATAATCAATTAAATTTTATTTATTTATATCAAAGTTGCACAAAAATAATTTGTATATTTTTTTTATATAGAAAATAAGATGGCTCATTTGTAGCCATTCATATGACTTTTTTCCTTGTTCTCAAACATATCACGTGTTTCACACTTTATACAAACAAATCTTTTCTATATAACTCTTATATAAGATAAAATGATATAGTGTTGAAAGTGCTATACAAAGAAAAATTATGTAGAATGATGTGACAAATTTTGATTTTGTTTTAAAATGTCATTCTCAATTTCAGAACATTTTGACAAAATTATATAAAATTACATTGTAATATAGTTTTTTTTACAAAATATGATTGTTACATCATTCTTGATAATTTTATTATTATTATTTCTCTTTGGTAAAAAAATATGTGTGTGAATCATTTTCTTATTAGATATTTTCACCATTAATATTGATTTGGGACATTGTGATTTTTGCAGAAAAAGGTACTATCATTGACAAAACCGATAACAAAGGAAGCCATAGTGGATCTCTACTGCAGCACCAACCCTATGACTCTATGCATTGCAGACTTGGGTTGCTCTTCTGGACCAAACACTTTCTTAGTGGTCTCCGAACTTATGGAGACAGTCCACAATACTTGCCAAAAATTGGGGCATCAAACCCCTGAATTTCAAGTGTACTTGAATGACCTCCCAGGGAATGATTTTAACACTATTTTCAAGTGCTTGCCAAGCTTCCATGAGAAGATGAGGAATCAAATGGGGCTAGGGCTTGGGCCATGTTTTGTCACCGGAGTCCCCGGTTCATTCTATGCTAGGCTTTTTCCCACCAAAAGTCTGCATTTTGTCCACTCTTCTTACAGTCTCATGTGGCTCTCTCAGGTATTTTGGTAGTGCTTTTTTTTTTTTTTTTTTTTTTTTTTTTTTTTTTTTTTTTTTTTTTTTGGTTGTTTTTT